ATTGCAGTTGAGTCGAAGAGTGTTTTGGGACTAGTCATTGATTTATGATCTTTCTGGTTGTCTCTTTTATGGCACACCATATTTTCCTCATTGCTTTTCTTTCCAGTTTCATGCGGTTCTCGTGAAAAAGGGAGGGAGGGGGGGGGGGGGTGAATCGTTGCTAGGAAATGAGTTGTTCTGAATTCTAGGCCGTTCATCAAGTAAAGGAAAAGTTTCTCTCTGTGCAGATCTTTCGGTTCTGTAGATCTAAGTGTCACAAGAACTTTAAGATGAAGAGGAATCCACGTAAAGTAAAATGGACAAAAGCATATAGGCGGCTGCATGGAAAGGACATGACTCAGGTAAACGATGCCACTCTTTTTGTGATACGATTTATATGCTCTTTGTTGAATTAAACTTCATTTACTTCTTTGTTTTTTGGGATACTGAAATTTCTTTTCCTGCTGCTAATTCCTATTTGAAGGACTCGACATTTGAATTCGAGAGGAAGCGTAATAGGCCGGAGAGATATGACAGGAATCTAACTGAGAACACTTTGAAGGCCATCAAGAAAATTGATAAAATCAGAGTTGATAGGGAGGATAGACATATCGCGAAGAGGTTCCTTAGATTGTGCTTCATTAATTTCCATCACTTTTTATTTGTCATATGCCTTTAGTTGCTATTAACATTAGTTGGCAAATCGGACAGGATGAAAGGAAAGAAAGCCAAGGAGCAGAGAGAAGCAGCGAAGGAGCTCGAGCAGAGCATTCACATGGTCAAAGCGCCTGCTGCGCTCGAAAAAGAGCCATCCCTTACACTGCCGATCAAGGTCAAGGTTTCGCAAAAGCGGTCAGAGGAAAGTCGCATGGAGGAATGAACAATTCACTTCCTATATTCTATATTCTCAAAGTAAAATATAAAATGCATTCTCGTTTCAGTATGTATAACTTTTTTATTATTACATATAACTGTCTTAATCTTGTATCCATCAAAAAAAAAAACAAGAAAACTGCCTTAATCTTTTACTGCCTTGAAATATTAGAAAACTTTTCTGACTAGATACAGACACACAGAGGCACTTGAATTTGGTGCGATCACACCTAGGATAGGCCGATGGTCTATTGGAAACAACCTTTCTATCTTCACAAGGTAGGGTAAGGTCTGTGTGCTACCCTCCCAAGACCTTACGACCCCACCTGTGACATTACATTGGGTTTGTTGTTTCTATTGTTACAACTAGGATGGGTCCATCTTTTAATCTAAGTTCTCGCAGTTTTTATTTTTTTTTATAGATGATACTTCTCATATTAATATCAGCTAGATGAATTTTTTAGGTTCATTTGCAGTTTTGGGGCGCAATATCTAAATACTCATGAAATTAACATAAAAGATCTCCCTTACTTTTCGATCGATTTTGTAATGGTTTGGCAACTTGTCGAGTGAGAGGATGGCAAATTCTCACATATTATATTACTCAAGAAACAGAAATTTTTTTCGCTCATGTTCTGTACCCCCAAGGAAATCTCAAAAACTTTTCATAACAGCATTATAATCGAAAACTTTTAATGCCAGATAAATGAAATAGCATATATCTAATTCTAAAACTTCAAGTGTCGCATTATTAATGAAATACTCTAAATAACTTTATAAATATTGTACATACAACATTCAAAGCAACAGTAGAAACTTTTTTCCTCTCTTTTTATTCGGATGCAAGCGTATTAAACAATCATAAATGCTACTCTCTCTGGTCCAAAATAAGTGATTTTTTAGCTGTTTTCACACAGATTAAGAAATCCACCTTTTAGCATTAATTAGCAATGAAATTGACCATATTAACCTTTGCTATCTCTTCAGATAAATACTCCTAACACATACTCCAACACTATTTACTCCAAGGGCAATGTAGGGAAAAAATAATTAATTCATTCTTGAAATCTGAAAAAATCACTTATTTTGGACCATAAAAAAAAGGTCAAAAAATCACTTATTTTGGACAGGAGGGAGTAGTGACTACTAATGAATTGCAGTTCAATTTTCAAAGTAGTAGCACTTAAATTGCTATAGTTGAATAGGTAATTATCTCATAAACATCCCTCCATGTTTGTGTACATAGCATTTACCTCTCGTGTACTTTGAACTACTACATTTACTTCCCTTGTTTTATTTTATTTTCCTAACAAAATTACTTATAAACAAAAACGATTTTATATATTACATGTTTACCCTTCAATATAAAGCATTTTGTAGTTCTTCTCTTCCTTTTTACACGAGAGAGAGTCCATTTGATTTCTTTCCCTTTTTCTCATTTTTATAATGTGTATCAGATCTTAGAGATATAGCATCTCTATCTTCACAAATTAGGGATAATGTCTGCCTGTACTTTATTTTACCCATGCTCCACAAATATGGGATTACATTGGGTATTTTCTTGTTGTTGTTTTGCGTATCATATAATTTGATGAAATGGAAAAATGTTTATATGAATAATTTTTTTTTCGGTGACAATTCTACTTGTACAGTAATGACAAAGTTTACATAGTTAATAACAATGGACAAATTTATGACTCTTTTGATTTAATTGGACCGCACTTGGATTTTTGAAATCTCAACACTTGGACTCATAAAAGTTGACTAAACATATAACTTTTAAACCGTTATCACTTGTATTTTTGTGTCTAATAATAACGCATAAACGCGAGTGGGGTGATTTTCTTATTTCTTCATTTTGTAGTTCTTGATTTTCTTTCTTCCACGAGAATGGATCCATTTGATTTTTTTTTCACTTTTCCTTTCATGCGTTTCAGATAATTTGGTAAAAATGAAGAAAAAAAAAAAAATTAAACTTAGATATTCTAGAGTGATATTTTTTCCGTAGTTGACAATTATACTTGTACAGGCAATGACCAAATTTGCGTTACAGGAGTATATAGTTATTAACGATGAATTGCACTTGGATTTCCGAAATCTCAAATTTATGACTCTTTTGATGTTTTTAGCTTACATTTGGATTTTGAAAATCTCAACACTTTAGACATGATAAAAGCGTCCATTCAAGTTTAATCTTTCAAAATTATATTGTTACCTTGAAGGAGCCTTGTAAAATTCACCTCTAAAATGAACCTTGTAACACCAGCTAGCGAGAAACTTCACAAGGTGAAGTGTACCAGTAGCTACTTTTAAGATAATTGTTTAAAATATTGTACAATATTTTTAAAGTTTAGTTAATTTTTTCAAATTTCAGGACTAAGTATCCTGAATTTAGAGCTGCTAATTTGGAATTCAGGACTTAGGGTGTATTTGGTATGAAGGAAAATATTTTTCCGAAAATATTTTCCAATTTTCCCATGTTTGGTTGCCTTAAATATTTTGGAAAATATTTTCCTCATGAACTCATTTTCCTCCAATTGGAGAATATTTTCCCTATCAAAAGAAGGAAAAGTATTTTCCAAAACTCTTTTTCAACCTTCCCACCCTGTTCTCCATCCCCACCCCACCACCCCCCTCACCCCTACTCCCACCCCAAATAAAAATATTATTAATAGTACTTTCTTTTCATGTTATAGGTAAAAAAAATTATTGAGTATTTTCTTTTCATGATATTTTTTTTTCATTTTAACAAAAGAAATACTTTTTTTTCATGATGCAGAAAAAAATATTTTCTTTCACTTCAACAAAATGATATATTAAAAAGTATTTTCTTTCATTTCAACAAAAAAAAGTATTTTCTTTTCATGATTTAAAAAAAGTATATTCGTTCATTTCAACAAAATGAGTATTTTCTTTTCATGATGTAGAAAAAGTATTTTTTTTATTTTATAAAATGAGTACTTTGTTTTCATGTTGTAGAAAGAGTACTTTCTTTTTCAACCCAAAAAAGAGTTCTTTCTTTTTCGTTATGGAGCATAGATTTTAACGTTGTTTTTGCGTAAAAAAGTAAATCAACACATCAGTTACTTTGTATTTGTGTGAATATTTAGAAAAATAATTAAATTTTTGAAGAAAATATTGTCCTGAAAACATTGGGTATTTGTTTTTTTTTTTNNAAACATACAAAATTATATTTTTTTCCAGCTATTATTTTGAAAACGGCTATACAATATCATTTTTTTTTTCCTTAAGCGTAGTACGCCTAATATACTTTTGTCTGTTCCTGCAACATCCTACACCTAATGTATTTTTGTCCGTTGTTGCTGTTGGGTGACAACCTACGAACTTGAATTTTAACTCTTCTCCTTCTTATGCTGCTGCTGCTGCTGCTTCTTCTATACCTCACCCTTATTATTTTTGTTTTTAATTTCTTTTGTATATTTATACATGAATCCTTTCTTTTCTTGTATTATCTTGCTGCATCTTCCAATTGATTGAAAATTTGTAAATACACTAAGCGTGAAACGTCTTTTTTGCTAATAACAAGCTAATCTTCGTTCAAACAACATGATTTCAAGTGCGGGATATGTTATTCAAAGTAATTATTTTTAGAATAAATAAGACAAAAACTAAAGCAACTAACATCTAATTCTCTTTTATAACAACTATATTTTCTAAATGCAAAGGGGAGCTTTGGAGCAATGATAAAGTTATTTTCGTTATCACGAGTTTGGGTTATAAAATCAGCCACAGACGCTTATATTAGGGTAGACTGTCTATATTACATCACTTGGGGACGAACCTACTCCGAAATCTACATGAATGTGGAGTGTGCACCGGGCTTTAAATACCAGTCGTCGCAAAAAGTAGCACTAAGATTTTACCGGGAATTGACACTACTACATAACCGACGGATTCTGACGGCTCATCAATAGTAACATAGCATTTGCTATTGAAAAAGGTTTGCCATTCAAAATATATGTCAATATTCCGATAGTTTCTTAACTTGGGTCGTACTCATTGGTTGTTCTTTTCTTCAATTCCTATACTAGTGTTGATGAACATTTTTATCATTGCGATTTTCGCCATTACATACATAAGGATAATCTGCAAAGGTTACCATATACCCTTTCAACGATATTACAAGGTTACAAAATACTTGAACTTTTAGATCAGTCACAGTGTTACAATCCATATATATTAGTAATCCGTGCATTATAATCGGTATATTACAATTTCTCTTATATTAGTACAACTTTTGCATTATTACGATCCATGCATTAAAAACCCTATATTACAATCCCTAAACGACCCCTAACAGGATAACCAAAGGAAAATAGGAAACAGAAGGACAATACAAGCACCTACTACAGAATAAGTTTAGAGTAAGTACGAATGACTTATTAGCTTTAAGAAACAAGATTCCTAGTTTGATTTGACCATGGAATTATTGTCTTGGAGCTTTCTGTTACTGTTCTCCTCTGTCATCAGAGTCTCTTTCTTGTCTTTGTAATTGTTGTTTTGTGGTGGTTTAGTTTTTACCGGTGGCCTTGGCGGCCTCCTTGTTGTATGAGTATTTAGGCATCTTCTGCAAATCAAACACGAACATTAATCCAACAAATCAAGAAGAAATGTCAGCCAAAAGTAATTCATGAATTTAAGTAAGGGAAATGCACAAATTTACTCTTCTACTCGACGAAATATCTTCCATAATAACTTGAGATCATTCATACCTTGGCTTCTAGCATGGATTCCACGTGTCACAACACTTTAGGAAAAATATCCGAATTTACATCTTTACTTTTGACTTATGGTTTAAAATTGTCCTTAGTTAAACTTCAGTTTGGAAGTCCTTAATGATTAATTAGGAAAAATATGAGACGATTTTGTAACAGAAAGGGTACTATGAGTTATTACTCCAAAGTATAATGAAGGTAAATGAAGATATTTCATATAGTAGAGGAGTATTTTTACAGCTTATTCCGTTAATAAAGATGATATAATCTTGCATGTACGCATGCATTTTTGAAAGGAAAACTACTTAGGATGTTAGCTGTTAACTCACATGGCTATTATTGTCTTGAGTAGACACGGCTTGAAGCTGGGAAATATTACCATGGATTTGGACACTATGCTACACGAAAAAGCCATTAGCAAAGAGTTTCTGAAATTTGCTTATTGGAGAATTACTGAGAGGAAGCAGTAATCTTGTTATATATGGTGTTCTGCACAAGGCAAGAAGATTGTGATATATAAAGAGCAATATTTCACACTGTGTGATCAATGTAGAAGCAATCATTCTCCACTAAAAAAGAAAAGAAAGAATTACTCCATAAAGAAAGACTTTACTTTTGGTGAAAGAGACATTAGTCTTTAGTGGCTTTCATTTTCGAAAGGCTTTAAATTTTGGATAGCTATAATGTATAGATTTCTTACGCCATCAAGATATAGTAACAGCAGGCAACTTTTCACATAACCTGATATGGTACACTAAAAAAATGAAAGAATAACTTGTTATATATAACGAATGTTAAACCAAACTGATGGTATAAAAAAGATCTACATTGTTTCGATATATAAACTTAAATTATTTTTCGACTACTTTCCCTTTGTTCTTTTTTTGTATGTCCACAGACCACAATTATGGATAAGCATGTTTCACGATTCTCCTATCCTTCTTTTCCTTTTTATTTCGTCCAAATAATTATGGTCCATGCAGCTTTTTCCAGACATTTCTGGCTTATAGGAAGACAAGAAACTGCGGCATTTGGTCAATTATGAGAAAAAGGACCGGAACCCAATTGTTGTTTTTTTGGACTCAAAGTACATTAATAAGTGTAAAAAAGAAAGTTACCTTTCTATATATAACGTCCAAATACAAGACGCTATATAGTCTGACGATTTGACTGATATATATATAGCATGCTGAATTTTTATGCTATACATATAGCGTACAAAATCAGCACGCTATACCCCTGATTATAAAATCCCCTTTGTCTTCTTCCCCGACCAGAACGAGCCCTCCCCCCATTTTTTTACTTCAATCTTGTTTCTGGTCCCCCCCACCCCCCGGTCGTGTTTAAAAAAAAAAAATCTGGGCCCCTCCCGTCACACAAAACATTAAGAAGGTAGGTCTCACATTGTAGTAGAGCATCGTATTATTGCGGTTTCACTCCTTCGGACTCAAATTTTCACACAAAATACTACATCGAGGTATTTCGATTTAGTTTATGTCGAAACTTGTATAATAATGCATATTAGTTGATTGAATGTTTTTCCATGTCGTTTTGTGTTTTATTTGCGGAACTAGTATGTTATATTTATCCGGACTTAAATATTAGTGTTCTAAAAAAAATGTAAAATGGAGAAATAATTTTTTATGTTAATATCCGGATTTAGGTATTAGTGTTTCCATGTCGGTTTGTGTTTTATTTGCGAAACTAGCACACTACAAAAAAAATCCCAATTGCTAACGGATTTTACCAACACCCCGAATTTGTTAGTGTATTAGCAACAGATTGCTAACAAAATGGTAACTAATTTATTTTTCAGAATTTAGTAACAGATTCCTAATGAATTGCCAACCAAAATTTTACTAACTAA